AATGATTCATTGGAAAGATCCAACTCAACAGAATGATTAATTCAAGAACTCTGAACAAGGAGAATGTGCCAAAGGAGAGCTAAGGCTGTTGTCACGATTTCCAGTGAATAATGACTAAATTTTCTTTCACAAAATGTTTCTCATGGCCTAAGAAGACTCTATATAGTGTACAGGTTGTATGTAGCATTTATATGATATTTTGCATCATTTTTGAAGTTTGAAAGCAAGTGTGCATTTATTAGTCATTCTTTTCCATGCAGTACAATTCAAAATCCCCCTTTTGTTTACACTGAAAAAAGTCAGATTGGATTAGAATGACGTGAGGGTAAACCCAGGTGTCACAGTAGTCCTAAAATGACTGTCAACCACAAGTTTGAGCTTGAACCCGCTTCTGACATGCTGTCAGCGCAGACAGCTGCTTATGTTTCAGCACAAAGACTTTCAGATGAAAGACGGAGACTTTTCAGACTTTTCAAAGAAGACAGAGATGTAATCCGATGAGCACATCCTCATTTCTAGATCAAAAGTAGCATGAAATAAGGTCAAGGAAAAGCTATGTGTGCAAAAATATACAGCCTGACGTTGATCTACAACTCCAAGGCATGACATCAGCGACTTGACATTCTCCTTTCATCTCATCTTGTTTGACCGTGTGTAAGAGGCAACGAAGGTCTGTTTATCTGCTCCCCTGGACTATCCCGAAAAGTGGGGTCATCCCAAGGCCCACAATCAGGGCATCTGCCTAACAGCTGCAGGACAGCTCTTTCGGCTAATGCCCTGGAACTCTTCGGTGGAGGCGGTGAACTTGAATGAGTCCTTTCTGTCTGTTGAAAGGCTTGGTTTTGTGTCCGTGGCCTGAGGCACTTTTCCTTGCTCAAAATGTCCTGTTGTCCACAGCAGGGGCTAATGGAGAACCATGTGGTTAAATAACGCATATAGTATGCAGTGAAAAAAAGGAGTGTAAAACATCAGGGCTTTTCCAGAATCCCGGGATCATCTTTTATGAGAGAAACCACAAAACTGTTCTCCGATCAGTCTTATGGTCAAGTTTTACCATAGGACATAGAGTAAAAATACACTCTTTGAGTCTATTAAAAAACGATCCGGCTGAGCCAGGGAGGAAGCTTTCATCGGTAGCTCAAGTCACACATAAGGTTAGATCATTATATAATTATTCAATATTCATTTCCTCTTTGAATGTACAACAAAAGCAATGACATGAGATGATTGCTGAAAGCCAGACAAGCTGGTGATGGAAAAGAAAGATTGTAAGGAGAAAAAAAGCATTCAAGTATTGTTCATTGTCCAAAGAATGAAAATACTTCAAGTCATTGAATGGAAAAGATATGAAGGGGGGTTGTTAAATCAGAGAATAAGAATTTGAGAAGCCCGAGCACATATGGCTGGAGTCATAGAGTGTAATTGCTCCCAGGCCTGTTGCAAAAGGAGGGGAGAGAGGTAGCTGTACAAATAGCGCTATGAATCATGGGATTCATATTTTTCCTAAGAGGCTATCAGACACAAGCACCATATTTGGGCAGTCTGAAAAGCTGTGAGAGAAAACCATCAAAACAGCTTAATTAAGCTGTTTTGCATTAGCAGAGCATTAGCATGAGCATTAGCAGAGAGGTATAGATTCATTTATTGACGTACGATGGAGAAAGGCAATGGATTTCTTAGTAAATGTTGACATAGCCTGGCGTATCTGCTCTGCCCCTAATTGCGGCCGGTCTCTAGTGACCAAGTGAAAAAGATAGAGGCCCTGCTCATTTCAGCAGCACTGGCTTATATAATGAAACACACAGTGCAGCACAATCACACTGGGGGCCACTGAGTCCCTGGAATGCTGAGAGAGAGAGAGAGAGAGAGAGAGAGAGAG